AACTATTGTTTACATCTAATTTTGCAATAAATAGAATGATACCACGTGCCATTAATGTTAAAAAAAATTTTGCTTGTTGAAAAGTTATTGGTGTATATCTCGCTGGATAAAGTTCAGTGATTGTTTCCACAACATTAACAAAGCTGTTCATTTGTTGTAAATTTTTAAGAATATAATCGACAACACCAACAAATTAATCGATTTATTATAGATTTCAGACTATTGTTAGTTTTTAAGATGCTGCCACAAATCTCCAATTGGCTACCAAGGGGTGTTTATTGCCATAAATGGGTGGAAAAGAAACCAAGGCAAACCTACCTCTCACACAATAAACTCAACACTCTTATTTTAATGCTCAAGTGTATCTTAGTTTTAAACCTTTTAATTTAGTTTAGTTTTATACTTCAACTTAAATTAGTCTTCAACTTTAATTTAATATCTTCTCCTTTAGAAATCTCAAAAATTAGTTGTAATTCTTTGAAAAAACAATTCAGTTTCCCTTTTGTTGGTTTTGTAATGGCAATATTTGCCATCTTCAATGATTTTTTTTTTGTACTCGTATTGCTTCTTTTTCTTTTTTGTTTTCATTGTTTTTTTTTTTTTAATTTAATCAAATGATATTGATATTTAATATCATATTCTATTCTATTTTTATTAATTTATATTTCATGCTGTGAGTAGATTTTTCATATTTCTAGTTTCATTTACTTTAACTTAATTTATTTTTCTACATTTATTTTTCCTTTTTAGAACTCTATCTCAACTCAACTTGCATATTTAAATTCATTTAGATTTTTAATAGTTTAGCAATCATTTACTTTTTTTACAGTTTTAGCTTTTCTCGATTACATTAGTTTGGACAAGTTCTTGAGTCATATTCAAGGCATTTTGTCTTATAATCTATTTAGTACAGGAAGTTCATCCCTCATTTTCTACCAATTATTTGATCATTAAAGCATAATTTACAACTTTTGTTCATCAACTTACAACTGAGTTTTACGCTTAGGAAAAGGTAAGGGTCATCAAAGAAACATTTCTTGTTTTGAGCAAACAAGTGACACGTCGTTTTATTTATCACGTGTTAAAGAGATTTTTTTACGATAATCCCTACTTTTTCAAAATATGAATAATAGAAGTTTTTTATTTATTCAAAATTTTCCTAAAATATAGTATGAGACAAATAGTTTTTTTTTTTAATCATTTATCTTATCATAAGAAGGTTTCTCTATCTTTATTTCTTGTGTTAAGGGTAATACAATAAAAATATAAATTGTTCCTAAATTATTAATTAAAAGATAAAATTTTATTTAATAAAATTTATCCCATGATAATAGTGGAGACAAATATTTTTTTTACTTTAATAATCTATCATATCAAAAAAAAGTCTCTATTTATCTTTGTATCTTTTGTTAAGGGTAACACAATTAAAATATAGACCATCCCTAAATTCAAGAAGTTGTAATTTAATTGACAAGAGAGTTTGTTCACTAACTTGTTGACCAAAGTTCAATTCATTGAAGAAACTAATGAGGAGGTAATTCTTTATCAATTCTTTAATCTTGATGTAGATAACATATATTTGATCTCCATTGCAAAGCTAATAAGTAATTTTTCATTAATTCTATAATTTTATAGCAATATTTTTTGGGGGGCCAACAAAAATTTATAGTATTAGTAATTTAAAACGAGGGAATCAATTGATTGTCACATGCCAACCATCTAAGAAGACCTTGTCCTGAGCCAAGGTCTGCAAGGAGCCTAAAGAAACACCATCTCGATCCATTTTGGATGAAGTCGTTGGACACAGGTGCCAAACCGTACCGCCTCTGAGGATCACCACGATCGTCAACGTCAACAGAGCAAGTTACCACGCTGTGGGTAGCTAAGAGACTGAGGATGCAGTCCAGCATCATTGGCTCATCCGGATTGCGAGTGGCCAACCGGGAAGCAATCTCTTGTGGTGTGAGCTTGACATCTGCACCAGCTTCTGAAATGATCTGGAAAAAAGTCCAGTTGAATTGCTGCATGAAGAGCCATGGGCAGCACTGATAAGTTAACAAGCTGCACGGCATAAGACGAATGTTCTTGATCTTTGTCACCATGGAGATGGCTGTGGGTTTCTGCCGATGAGGCCATTGGACCATGGAAATTAAAGTAGTAGCTTGTTTAACATTACAAACTTACAATTACAACAAGTGTGTATTTGGTGAAGCATATGTACAGCTAAGTCTATTCTCTATCTGGCATTTGCTAATCAATATCCCATGAGGAATGTAGGAAGTGATATCATTGATATAAATAATTTATTTGGTGATTGTTGCAAAGTCACCATTCATGAATCATGAAAGCATTTTCTAATATCTCAATTCTCAATGAATTCATGAAATTGGATTTGCGAATACTTTATTTGATGCAATTGAAACCATCAACAAATCATGAATGTATTTTCAAAAATCTGAATCTGAATTAAGCCACCAAATTTATTTGCAATGACTTATTTGTTGTAACTTGCAAAGTTACCATGCATGGATGAATTGAAAAGGAAACCATATATACCAAGATATGCAATAAGATGTCAAGAACAAGGATCTGAGCCAAAACAGAATCAAAAGCACTTAGCATTATTCCTATGGCAACTATGCCACCATATCGAACTTAAAAAAAGAATCCATACCCAAAAAAAAAAAAAGAAGAAAAACACCACTGCCCAAGCACAGCTGCACATGCTCAAAAATCAAAATGAAGTACTGATTAGAAGTGAGATGGAAAAGGCATTCTCAAAAAACAAGCACATATCATCAGTGACTACCTTCTGATTTCTATTCCACCAAAACATCAGAAATTCAAGGGCAGGTGAAAAGAGATTTAGTAACAATTCATTGTAAATTTTAAATCAATTAAAAGAAGAAATGTAAATACAAAATAGTGGATACATTACCTTTATCAAATTCTGCAAGTGAGCCATTGTCGCTTTCATTTCCACTTGGTCTAATCCATGCCCTGGTGGTGATATAACATACAAATATAACCAGTAACAGAGTAAATTAAGTATAACTTTCTGTGTAGTAGAGAAATGGTCTGATATCTATTCTGGAAGATGAAATGAAGCTTTTGCGCTTGTTCACATGACCATCTTCAGCAAGGCATGAGGACAGTAAGCTCTCGAGGTCAGAATGACATGAACCCCTTTGCTCTCTTATCATCCATCATCATATTGCTTGTTTGATACCACATTGCAAGATAACAAGTTTAGAACAACAAATATTTATGTGAACAATTCTCCTCAAAAGTTTTTTTCCCCGGCTATTTCATCAATAAAGAAGTAAAAGAAAAAGAGGAATATATTAGGGGAGAAAGAAAAAGAACAGTCAATGTTTCTTTCTAGATCCTAATCCATAGTCATATTTTGCATTGGCTACAATATCTAAGATCATAATAGATATGAAAATTCATTCAGCATAGCATAATTAAATTGTTGATCTCTAAGGTGCTTCAGAAAATTACCATTTTGGCTTTTTGTTACTGGACATATTAGCTCTGTTAGAAATCTAAATACAGATTCTGTTTTATTATTTACATTAAAACAAGCAATATCAATAAAACACTGAGCTTTCTTTGTCATTGTATATATAGAACACCTGATCAGAAGTATAGAACAATAATCAGTTTGAATATCCATTAAGAAAAGAGCATAATCAGATTCAAAAAACTAACACTGCTACTTCTCCATGAATTAGCAGGAACTTGGAATGAGCCAACAGGGTATCAGGCTGAACTCCAAGAGTGTCTCTGAAGGAAACTCAAAAATTGGTGAAATTTTTCTATCCTTCAAGCTGTAGATGCCCATGTCCATGCCCATGCCCATTTCACTAATTTCAAGCAGAGTTAAAAAATGATCATGGGTGAAGTAAATACAGTTCCCCTTGCATCTACTAAAATCTTCTGTTGATACTGATACGGATTGATTTTGACCTAAAAACAATGATCGATCATCCCCAAGAGTTTCCACTTCTACCCATTTTCGCCCTTCCAAATCCAGCTTATATACATCAAATATCTCAGTAGTGATATCATGGTCATCCTCCTCTAGCGCATTCCTTGCAACAAGCACATTCCTTGCAATAAGCACATTCCTTGCAACAAGCAGAATCTCCCCACCTGATTGAACCAGATAAACTCGAGAGATGAAACAATTGGGTCTCCAAAATCTGCCATTGGGGGCAGCATATCCATTGTAGATTTTATTTTCTGGATAACCACTCCCTAAATCCCAAGTATAAATAGCACCATCAACAGTCAGGACATGGAGCTTGTTTTCATAGCACATAATATCCTCCACTACAATACGGTTCCGAAATCCTGAATCATAGAATTGTGTCCACGAAATGTCTCCATTCTTATAATAAATAAGATCTCCAGAGTCCAATAACAAAACCACAGCACAATCTCCTCCAGTAGGTTCGGCTGTCAAAAAGGCTCTTGATACAAAAGATCGGCGTAGCTCTACCTCGGCCCGGATCACCCATTTTCCATTCCAGAGAATTTCACGGATGCCTCCACCATCTTTCTCAATTTCGGATATGCCGAGCAGAGTTTTTAATGAAGGAAGTTGTATCCGGGCCTCGGTGGAAAGGTTGAAGAGGAAGGGAGATAAAGTTGTGTAGTCAGATAAAATCAGCCACCCGTGTAAGGATCCAATGCAGGCAAACTCAGAAATCAGGTCCGATGTTGACTTCTTCAGATCGTAAACCAGGTTTTCTTCGAGATTCATGATGCGATAAGAATCACTGCCGGCGCAGTTTGGATAGCTGGTGTAGCCGCCTTCTCCATCTCGTTCATGAATGGTCCTGTACAGTGATGATAGAGAGGCTCGATTCTAAAACTCTGACTCGTAGAATATCTATAGAATTGCGTGGAAAGGAAGTAGGGTGTGTTCTATGTTTCAGAAAAATTATATACTGTATGTAAAATTAAACTGTACAATTTCTTTTATACTCCCTTTGGACTGAGGGTAGTT